GAGAGAGAGAGAGAGAGAGAGAGAGAGGGGCTGCGACAGCCCCTCTCTCTCTCTCTCTCTCTCTCGTGTGCGCGCGCGCGCGCGACTTCAACTTTTTGTCCGTTCGTTTTTTTTTCCGTTTGTGTATTTGTTTTTTTTTTCCCGTTCTTTCTTCTTTTTTGTTATCTCAAGTGTGTCGTTCCTAGGGAAGCGGAGCCCGGCCTTCACGCAGCGACCGGGCCTTCCCTTGGCCGACGCCCCTAGGGCTGCGGCGCGTATACGGGAGTGCCCGCGGCCGATAGCTGAGCGAGTTACTGGTGGTTTAATCCTCTGGATCCCAGGGTAATCAATGCTGGCAGGAACCTCACACAATCCTGTTTCGTTACATTCCAAACTCTTTTTGCATATGGGACGCTGGACCCATTTTCCAGCAGGTGCTGCTCCCCACCAATAGATGGAGCCTCTCCCCAGGTGCTAGTGGTGTCGGCTCTTATCAGCACCACTAGCATTGGCGGGGACGTTTAAAAAAAAAAAATAAAAAAAATCAGCTTAGGGCGCTCCCTTCAGCCAATGGGCTGTGAGCCATGGAATTTGTGGCCGCTTTTTTTGTGTGTGGGGTGCACTCAGCCAATGGGATGGGTCCTCTGAAACCACCAGTACCTCGCCCAGCTATTTTTTGAGAGAAGCGGCCGTTAACGCGCCGCATCGGACGGGGGTCGGGCACTGAACGACTGGTACCAAGAAGAAAAACAAAAGTCGAGAAAAAAAAAAAGAAGAACAAAAAAAAAAGTAGAAAGTGCAAAAAACAAAAGAGAACGAAAACGAACGGGAAAAACGGGCGCCGCAGGGAGGGTGGGGGAAGAGAGAGAGAGAGAGAGAGAGAGAGAGAGAGAGAGAGAGAGAGAGAGAGAGAGAGAGAGAGAAAGAAAGAGGGCGTGGCCCTCTCTCTCTCTCTCTCTCCCCCCCCCACCTCACCGCGCAGCTCATATGTGCAAAACGGGAACAAATCTTCCCGCGTTTGCGGGAAGATTCATTCTCGTTTTGCACACATGAACTGCACGGTGCAGGGGAGGAGAGTGTGTGTGTGTGTGTGTGTGTGTGTGTGTGTGTGTGTGTGTGTGTGTGTGTGTGTGTGTG